CCCCCTCCCCTCTAGAACCCTCAGTTTGTTTTTCAGAGTCCATCGTCTCTCATCATTACCTCACTTTTAAGTAGAATGTGTTTAACCTCAAACTTTTTTAGGACTGTGATTATAATTTTTTCATATCTGGGTCATTTAATGCATAACAAATGATATTTTGACTTTATTTTAGCAGATTATCATCTCCATTCTGCAAATATCTCTCGATTTCTTCATGAAGTATCCCTTATGCAAATATACCCTCTTTATTTTTGGACTTAGTGCCCTTCGAATTTTGTGGCTGCCTGTTGTCCAAAATTCTGAATGCCTTTCTTTTCAGTACTGAGGTATTATGCAAAGAAGAAAAGTATTGCATGGGACATCAAGCTCAGAATACTAATAGGAGGTTCTGAATTGAGATTTCTATAGACAGCAGTGCATCTTTTTATTTTTTAAATCAGATTATTTTCATGGAAGTAAATAAATTCCATCCTAGCTAATGCACTTTAATATATCAGACAAATAAAAGGTGAATGGCCTAACTAGTTAAAATTTTGAAGATCTTTTTGCTGTGAAATCAAATTTCCCTATTTCATCCTCTGCTGGCTTTCTGTATGTTTATTTTAGACAAGTAACCATATTTGAAAGCTTCAGATTTCTCATATATAAGGGCAGATACAAAGCACGTTTGGTTGGGAACTTCAAAAAAGCCTTTCTTAAACTGTAGCATGAGAATCACACGCATTCTTATAAGACAACACTTAAAATAAATGGGGGTGGGGAAGCACCTGGTTTTTCAGAAGGGTCTGCGCTGTTATTGACATGCAGCATGGCTTCCATGATTGGCATTAACCGTGTGATATTTTCAAAGTAATTCATTTGCAGTGCCTGTTCTAGCAACCTGGAACAAAACAGAAGAGAAGAAGAAGCTGAACTAAGCATATCCATAATTATTTGAGAAGGGGTTTCCCCAAGGAAACAGGCAATGAAGATACTTACCAATCCATATTTAAATTCATTTTGCTTGGATCCCCAGTAAGCAAATCCCTCAGTTTTTTAGATATAATATTGTCATGGTACAGTAAGTTGGTTGCTATTTCGGTGCCAAGCTCTGCTGCTTCGAGGAGCTGCACATGAAATGCACTTTCTTCACATAGGTCCCTAAAGTTCACGTCAGAGAGCTGGCACATTCTCTCTATTGAACTGAAAGTTTCAGATTCACAAAGAAGTTCGGTCAAGTTTCGAAGTTGAGAGAGCTTTCCAGAAAGGGGAAGGAGTGGGAAATAGATTAGTTATATTATTATAAATATTTGGTAGTTGATAATAAGTAACCAAAATTGATTTACTTCAAAAAAAACACTGTGCATATGTTTTTAGTTAGTTGGCATTTGGCAAGTTTTACCTCAAAGCATTATTTTCTGTCACTTGAGTTTACTGCTTTCTTAAGAATTTTATAAAACTTTTGGAACTATTAGACCTGTATTTCCCAACTGGACTCAGATCTTGTAGATTCAAAGGTTAAAAAAAATGTGGTTTAGTTTTATCTCATTTAAATCACAAATACTTCAACTAATTTATATTTTAGTATGTTTTAAGTCATGTGGAAAGGCAGAGAGCAAAGCAGTTTTGGAAAAAAAAAAGTCTTTCTTCCTCGTATGCATTAGGATGACTACTGTAAGTAAAAGAGAAAGAAGGAAAGAAAACGTTAGTGTTGGGAAGGATGTGGAGAAACTGGAACCCTTGTGCACTGCTGGTGGGGATGGAAAATGATGCAACCACTGTGGAAAACAGTATGGAGTTTCCTCAGTAATAAAAACAGAATTACTGGTATGATTCAGCAATCCCACTTCTGTGTATATACCCAAAAGTATTGAAAGTTGGGTTTCAAACAAATATTTGTGCACCCAGGTCCATAGCAACATTATTCACAATAACCGAGAGGCAGACACAACCCAAGTGTCTACTGACAGATGAATGGATAAACACAATGTAGTATATAGATACACAATGGAATATTATTCAGTCTTAAAAAGGAAAGAAATTCTGACACATGCTACAACACGGATGAACCTTGAGGACCTTGTGACGTGTGAAATAAGCCAGTCACAAAAATACAAATACTGGATGATTTCATTTAAATGAGGAATGTAGAGTAGTCAAATTCATAGTGATAGAAAGTAGAATTGTGGTCGCCAGGGGTTAGGGGGAGAGGGGAAGAGGTGTTATTTTAATAGGTACAGGGATTCAGTTTTGAATTATTAAGAGAGTTCTGGAGATTGGTTGCACAACAATGTGGATGCATTTAACAAGACTGAACTGTACAGTTAAAAATGCTTCAGGTGGTAAATTTTATATTACGTGTATTTTACCACAATTAAAAAATTCATTGACAAGAAAAAAGCTTTTTTAAAATGCAGCATGTGAATCACATGCATTTTAATAAGACTGCATTTAAAATATGAATGGGAATACACTTGGATTTTCAGAAGTGTCTGCACTGTTTTGGACATTATCTTCTACTCTCTTATCTATTGAGGGAAACTGGGTGCCTTTGTTCTCTGGAAGTGCTTAAAAGTTCTGTTGTGCTTGGAAGCTACCCTGGAGCTATTCCTTTTAAGAAGTCAAATAATTTGCAATGACGTGGATGGAACTGGAGGGTGTTATGCTGAGTGAAATAAGTCAATCAGAGAAAGACATGTATCATATGACCTCACTGATATGAGGAATTCTTCATCTCAGGAAACAAACTGAGGTTTGCTGGAGTGGGGGGTGGGGTGGGAGGGATGGGGTGGCTGGGTGATAGACACTGGGGAGGGTATGTGCTATGGTGAGTGCTGTGAATTGTGCAAGACTGTTGAATCACAGATCTGTACCTCTGAAACAAATAATGCAATATATGTTAAGAAAAAAAGGAAGAAGAAGATAGCAGGAGGGGCAGAATGAAGCGGGGGAAATTGGAGGGGGAGACGAACCACGAGAGACGATGGACTTTGAAAAACAAACTGAGGGTTCTAGAGGGGAGGGGGGTGGGAGGATGGGTTAGCCTGGTGATGGGTATTAAAGAGGGCACATTCTGCATGGAGCACTGGGTGTTATGCACAAACAATGAATCATGGAACACTTCATCTAAAACTAATGATGTAATGTATGGTGATTAACATAACAATAAAAAAATTTTTAAAAGAAGTCAAATAATTTGGGATGCCTGGGTGGCTCAGTCGGTTAAGCCTCTCACTCTTGATTTCAGCTCAGGTCATGATCTCAGGGTCATGAGATTGAGCCCCACATTGGGCTCCTTGCTGAGTGTGGAGCCTGCTTAAGATTTCCTCTCTCCCTCTCCCTCTGCCCCTCCTCCTCCTCTGTCTTAAAAAAAAAAAAAAGACAGAGAGAGAGATGGAAGTCAAATAATTTGGAGCAACACCTAAGAAAGCAAATATATGTGTCATTCATTGCAACTCAATTTCAATCAGAAGTTGCATTTTGATAGAAATGAAGTATTTTATGATACAGGCAAATGTTTAGGGATGTTTCTTTCCATATATCAAATGGGAAAGGCACGATTATGTGTCTTAGATGAAAGATTTATAGTAACTACATGTAGGCACTAGCAATTAAACACTGATCATCTTAGACAGTAAATATCATTGGTCTATTTTTTACTGTATTTAATATTCTAATTGACTTCTGGCTTTGAACTATCTAAAATAGCCTCATGCATATTAAAATTCTACTCACTAGTCTTACTGCTATGAGAAAATTTCCATTAAAGGTCCAATTGTTTTATCAGCTGTAACTACGTGTTTGCCACTCTATTCCTTCCTTTGATTTTCCAAATAATAGATATGATTAAATTTCTAATGAATGGAGTCAAGCCTTCCTGCCACATCCTTCAGTGACTTTTCATGATTTTTTAAAGAAAAGGATAAATACTGGTAGCCCAATAAATTTGTTTTAATCAAGCTTTGAGGGTATAGTAAATGTGAGATTTTTACTCAGTAGAGACCTAAATATATACATGTATATATTTTGACCCAAATACATTTTTTAATTGCAAGTTTGGCATACATGTATGAGAAACCAGTAAAAGTCCATACAGTATAATCTTCTCTTGATAAAAGTTATTGAAGGAAAAATTGGAAATCTAGCCATGCTACTGAAGTAGAATTGGTTCTCTGAAATAAAGGTTTAATTCAGGGTCAATAATATGGAATGCATTGTGGAGCACATCCATCAAGGAGCAACCTGAAGGTCATATAGTATTTGTCATTATTTACTACTTTCTTCTAAAAGCAATACATGCATTAAATTTTTAGAAGCTTCATGGACCATTAATAGTCAATCTTAAATCCAGAGAATTAAAATTCTCTCTTCAAAAGTGTGTCAAATCCAGATTGTAGGTTTGTCAGAACCTCATGTACAGTCCTTTCTCCTTTATCATGACCCTGGTCCACATAGTGAAAAAGATCTCAGGTCAAATGTGAACAATGACCCATAACTAACTCCATGTCCAGCTGTGACTGAATTCCCCAGTGCCTGTGGTCCCTGAATGCATCTGAATCAGAAATGTAAGTTACATTTAAGTAAGAACTCAAAATATCAGGGCACCTGGGTGGCTCAGTTGGTTGGGTGTCCAACTCTTGATTTCGGCTCAGGTCATGATCTCAGGGTCGTGAGATCGAGCCCTGCATTGGGCTCACTCTGGGCATGGAGCCTACTTAAGATTCTCTCTCTACCTCTTCCTCTGCCCCCACTCCCCCTCAAAAAAAAAAAAAACCTCAAAATATCATAGGTATAAAAGTGATAAAACAGCAGTGCTCCTGGGCTCTTGGCAAGTAAATGCAGGGGAAAGGAACCTATTTAAAAATTTAAAGGTGTTATAATAAAAATATTGTGTTACCCATATTTCTGCCCAATATGGGGAATATCCACTTTATGTATAGTTCCCCAATCAGGAAGCTATTCTTCTCACAATGAAGGAAGGAGAAAACACAAAAGCTCAGGAAGAGTACAGTGTTGGAACTAGAAAAGAGGGATAGGAACAGAAGGAGAAGTCACTTTTGAATGGCAAGCATTTGACATTTTGGAGGGTCTAAACCTTCTTAGAAATGCCATGAGTAAAGTTTTAGAATGGGTAGGCCCTTAACTGACTGTCACAATTAAGACACTAATTACCGGAGAAGGCAAAGCAAGGAAGTTAAACCATCTCTTGCTATAAAACTGTAAGAATTTATCTTCATTCTTTTAGTGATACATACTGAATATTTTCCATGTGTCCATACGCCCGGTGCTGAGAATACAATAGTAGAGGGACAGACTTAGCAACGTTCCTCAGGGAGCTTATAGTCTTGGAATGTAGGGCTTCTGTTAATTGCAGATAGCTGCCATGCTTCTTGTAAATGACAACAGACTTTCTACCCAAAGGACAGGATTGCAGTTTATTTCCACTTCTGTGGCTTCTAGAACTTTTTTCATAATGTAACCCTGAAGTGGAGCAGTATAGTCAAAATGTGAATGCTGTTTTAAATTATTCTTACATCTATTTCCCATTCCATGAGTGTAACTGATTGAGAATGCATTGTTTCAATTTCCCTGGTGTATATTTTGTGCTGCCTGATTACTTCACAAGTTGAGAACTACAATGAGTAATTGTCCAGGTGACACAGTTATATCACCAGGGCTCTCTTTTAACACCCTCATTTGTTCACACATCCATGAGTTGTCTTAAGCTCCTACTATGTGGTAAATGTGGGGCTTTAGAGATACAGCGGCTACATTTTATCTGAGTTTACCCTCTAGGGAGGGAAACAGACCTTACTTATACAACAAGTTATAATGCTAAGTAATAAGTTCCAAAAGCCAGAAATCTCGCTGCTATCAGACTCCTCTTCTTTATGCCCACTGGCTGCCGCGGTGTGTCACCTAAACTCCTACCCCATTCTTGAAACCGTCTCTTCCTTCTTTCTCTGCCATTGACAAAGTGCAGGGCTCACGTTTTGCTTAGGTTACTGCAGATATCACCTACTTGGCTTTTCTTCAATCTGTCCTCCATAGTCCTCCCAGAGAGTTCTCTTTCTAAAATGAAAATTTTACTTTCTTCAAATGCACAACATTCCAGACCAGATTCAAACTCCGTGACTAAGCAGAAAGAGGACTTTGGGATCTGGGCCCAGTCTCTCTGCAGTCCCCTTTCCTACCTCTCCCATAGGCACCTTCTGCTCCAGATGGGCACAGGACTGCAGGTAACCTGTATCTGTCCTCCAGGTTCATACCTCTGTCTTAATAAATGCAGGTCTCTATGTGTGGAATGTAGGACTGTAACCTAATCCTACTCAGCCTATAAGAGCAAGTATTATCTCTTCCATGAAATTTCTCCTCTCCACCTCCATTCCCTACAATTGGAGTTAAATCTCCCACCTCCATACACAGAATCCTGTCCATCCACATACCACAATACTTATCTCACTGTGTTATAATTATTGGTCTGCTTTTCCATCTGCTACAGTGGATTGCTATAAGGACTTTGGGGTTAGAGATTATGTCTTTTAATAAATAGATTAGTGTTATGGGACCATAGATCATGGATTGAATGAATGAATGGATAAATATTATGTGCACACAAAGCCATTATCCTGGCTGGGAAATAGAGAGAAAGGCAATACTCTAATATTATAGAAGTGACATCTAAACTTGTCCTTGAAGGATGAGTAGGAATTTTCCAGATGAATGCATAACTTCCTTTTCATTTGCACAAATTAAGATACTGCTAAATTAGGTGCATTAGAAATTTTAATTTGTGTAGAAGATCAGGAGAAAATGGAGGTAACCTCACTAGCATTACCTACTTATAATACACACGGACATATGTTTTGGATGTAATTAGACCATCTTGACTATACAGAAAGTCATCTTGTTTGCCCTGAATAAACCAGTTCTAATTTTGCTTTATCCCTGCCTACCTAAATTCAATTACACTGCTGTTCTTACTAGGAAAGCTGCTTTCAAATTTTAATAGGGTTATTTAAGAAATGAATTATCATGATAACCTGTATACTATATGCATGAGCTAAACAAAGAATAATAGATAAATGTGAACCAATTCAAACTTCAGAGTTTAAAATTTTTTTCATTGCTTTCCCTCCTTTTTTTAATATCATACATCTTAATATGATTTATTAGTTTCTGCTTCTGATGACAATAAAAATAAGGTTAGTCAACTTCTGAGATTTTTGCACACTGTGAAGTCTAAACACTAGCTTTTAAGATCAACTTTTGTAGTTTTAAAAACTGAGGCCAACTTAAATTAGAAATCATACTATGAGTACTATTTTGAAATTACGAAGCTTAACGAGGTAACTATATTATTAGCCATTCCTTTATGTATGTGAATACTGCAATTAGACCTTTATTGGTCATTTCATATAGAGATATCCACTAATTAAGAACAAAATGCCATTTTCTAGCACAAGAACCCTTTTGTCCCCCTTTTTCTGGCATTAATCTAGTCAAAATAGGACAAATATTTATGAAGATACAGATTTAAAACTTAAACTGAAATACATCTCGCCAGAGCATTACAGACAATGTCAAGGTTTATTTATTTATTTTTTCTTTCATGACTTACTTTTGATTTCAGGACTTCAGGAACTGAAGAAAAGTAATCCTCATAAAAACCATTTTGAAGAAAAGATTTTTTAAACGAAATTATGGACTGCAGGAGTCTTAAATTTTCTGTAAAGGAAGAGAGAAGATTTACCTTATGTGAACTGCAAGGTCATTTAGGAAACCCATTTGAAAAACACCTTTATCCTAATTTATTGCTAAGTTTTTCCTAAGATAATGGCCTAGTTCAACCTAAGTATAAGACAAGTGAAAATTTAACCTTTCCTTGAACCGTGGAGACTAGAGAGTTCATTATTTTAAAAATATTCATAGATATTCTGCTTAGAGATAAAAATATTTCTAGCAAAGGTGCTACACACTTTTGGCTCTTTGTGAACTAAATCTGCTTTTATTTCTGACTTTTTGATAGACTGTTAAGTTGAAGTGTTTGGGGGAGAATAGATTGCATAATCACTGTGACACATATACACCCTTCCAACCTTGATTAATTCAAGCCTAGTAAACAGAGACCACGCTTAAATACTTGTGCTATTTGCTTGCCATTAAGTCTCAAGAAACTATTTTGGTGTGGGAAAAGTAAATATAGATCCCTTGGAAAAGGTGAGAAATTCGATATTTTCTCTTGAAAAAGGAAAAGAAACATTTGATTAAATGCCATCTTCATGGTTGTCCATGTAGGCAGAAAATTGAAAATAAGGTGTATAAGGGTGGGAAGTAAAAATAGTCTGCCACACAAAAATCCTTTGTTTATATAATTTACACATGCTTTGGGAAGTCTATATTATCATTCTTCATTGTTTTTTGATAACTAAGATTATTAAGGACACAGAAAATGCCATGAAGGGTTATATGAACTACTAATAATTCCAGAAACTTGGAGAGTTTGTTTGGGTGGTCATTATCATATTCTCTGCTACATGGCTATCGTAAATTAAAGTTTGTCCAGGTGGCCAGAAGTACTAGCAGCAGGAACAGAAGTAATAATATAATAACACAATTAGATATTCCCTTCATATATCAAACTACCAAACTGAAACTCATGCGTATGGAAACTAAAATCTTTTAAAAACCTTTCTATTTTTTTAAGCAAATGTCTTAAAAGACTTACTACTTTAGAACAGAATTAGAACCCTAAGCAGCATTTTGACTACTAAGAAGAGTATTTATTACCTTGTGATCCCCTGGCCAAATTGTCAGTGACATTTCTCACACATGCCAAGTAAGGAATATAAGGACTATCTGCTGATATATTTAAGAGAGCATCTTCAAAGTTTTCCAGTATTAGGAGCCTATAGAATTAGAAAAGAATATATAAATTAAGTCATATAAAAAGAGAATAAAGTTATTTTGTTGAGATCATTTAAGTCCCTGGTTGTTTGGCATTAGTTGACTTGGGCATGGAATTTGGAAGTAGGACGTCTTCCTCCATCTGGTCTGAGTGCACACTGGCTCTGTCTCCTCTGATCGCTTACTTCTCCATGGACATTAGATTTAGTTATTTTAATATCCAGTCATAAGTGATCTTAAGATTATTTCTAGGCATGTCCATATGAAAGAAAAAAATTACGGGGCTAGGGTTGTCAGATGAAATACAGGACTCCCAGTTAAATCTGAATTTCAGATAAACAATGAATAATTTTTTTCTTTTTTTTAAATGATAATTTTTCAATGTAAGAACAACCTATGAGTCTTCTATGTTTTTCTTTTCTTTTCTTTTTCTCCTCTAAATCTGGCAGACCCCTCTGGACCTCAGTTTTTTCCCTTGTCAAATGAGATGCAGGGGGCTGAATGATCTGCTAATCCCTTCCACCTATAACATTCTTCAAATAAATATATTTAATTGTGATTTAAAAAAATAGTGGACTCTAATTGAACAATATAAGTTCCTTCCTTTTCTTTAAACAACCAATTCAGTGTTTCCAAATTAACCACTTTCAGGTCTCCCTTTAAACTGACTGGCATGTGAGAATATAGCCTAGGATTTCTGAGGCATCAGTATGAGTGAGTAAATACGTGTGTGTTGTGCATGCTCTGTCACTTCAACTATGAGTATGAGGCTGCATCTCTATTTTGTAACATCTTCCCTCAGTGTTTATGATTGAATTTCATGTACAGGAGAGATAGAATAAATGTCAATAGCTGATTTGGGGACCATCTATTTCAAATCAAACCGCACAATACACAAATTAACCAGTTCTGTCAGATGTTTAACTTAGATTTTATTCAAATACTAAGGGAAGACACTCATCCTGGCATAGCTAGTAAACATGTAGGAAAATGTCTGCATTAACGTCAAAGTAGTCTTAGGGTATTTAGATGTGGGTTAATACTACTGGATCCTTGAAGAACTTTAAAGAGAAAATCTACAGCGAGAGAAGTCTCTAATGTGGCAGTCAGAGCACAGTTAACTCGTCAGATAGCTGACCTTCATTTAAATACAATTGATAGGGGCGCCTAGGTGGCTCAGTCAGTAAGCATCTTCCTTCTGCTCAGGTCCTGATCTCAGGGTCCTAGGATGGAGGCCGCATTGGGCTCCCTGCTAAGCGGGGAGCCTGCTTCTCCCTCTGCCCCTCCCCCCACTTATGCTCTCTCTCTCTCTCTCAAATAAAGTCTTTAAAAAAATTTAAAAAATTAAATACAATTGATAGCCTCCACACTAAAAAAAAAATGTAACCATTTCCATGTATTGTAGTTATTATAGCATAGAGCCATTTGCATCCTGGTATAGTGCTCAAAAGAAAAATATTGGTCTAACCCTCTATGTGGAATGAACAAAGGATTCTCATGGTGAATTTTCAAGCTTAAAATAGAAGTAGAAGAATGTTGCACTAAAAGTGACCTTGAAATATTATCTAAGCCATTCTCTTAGTTTCAGGAAGAACATTTGATTGCCAAGATTTTGGCGATTACATTTAATATACTCTGAAAATTAAGATTCCATATCTATGTCCCACTGCTTTAGCATAAATATCTAATTATTCTTTTAAAACATTTAATTTATGTATTTTTGTATATAATCCTACTTATTTTCCAAGAATATTTGCAATGAAAGATGAGCTTATGTGTACATTGTGTGAGTGTACACACACACACAAACAGAATAATACAAATAATAACCTTAGGACAAAAATAATAAGGAGAGAGAAGAGCAATGAGGGAAAAACATTTTTAAGCAGCCTTCTTTAGAAAATTCTGGACCAAAAAAATCTTTTATCTTATGCCAGATATTGCCGTTCTGTGATTATTTTAAAATGGGAATGGAAAGGAAGTCTAAATATAAGAAATCCCTTAATTTCATCAATCTCAACAAGAACCATCTTAAAAGTATTGAATTCTTCCTAATAAACTGTCAGCTGGCTGCCAGCAACTACATTGTTTGTGGAATTTGTGGTCTGAAGTGCTAGTATTATCAATGCTATGGATGCCTCAAGGCTCTGGTAAAGGTACCTGGTTTCAACAATAAGCATACACTCGTCTCAATACAAAGGTCTTTTTTTTTTTTAAGTATTTTTGATGGTCTATAAGACCTGATTTTTTGGAACATGGCATCCTAGCTAGGGGAAAATTGTCCAAGGTTGCTTGACTGCTCTGGAAAGAGCACCTGGTTCAGCCACCTTAGGGGAGGAGAAAGGTAGAAGCAGACATAGGAGGTGGCTGTTTATGGAAGGAATTTGCCTAGAATTTATCCAGAGTTCGAGAACTTCTCATTAAATAATAGAAAGTTTATAAACAACTGCATAGATCCTATTTCAGAAAAAAAATAAAAATGGCTAAAAATAAGTCCTGTATTTCATTTTATTTGTACAAATTTCATTAGAGCAGAAATGTATCCTTTGGGACTAGAGTCAAAAAATTGCAACAGTATAATTTATCAGGCCAAAACAACGTCTACATAACAGGTCATCTAGTCTCTAAATTTGCCTATAGGAATTTACTTCAATCAGCTTCTGCGGGCGCCTGCATGCATTCCCTACTATGATTATTACAGTTACTTCAGAGCACTGCTTACATTAATGGTCTTTAGAAGCCAACGCTGCTGCTGTCATTTCCACTGCCTGTTTCGGGGACAACATATTTACATGCCCCACAAGAGTCCAAAATTAAATTATCTATAAACAGTTTTACCTACATGAATGCTGTGGAAGCAAACAAATTTTGTATTACCTTGACTGGCTTAAGAGATACTGTGATTTTTAAAAACCAAAATAAATCGTAATGTGAAAAATTAGATGCTTATACAACTTTCATCATGAAAGACCTTAAACAAGTTGGAAATTGGACCTCCCCCTAGATTTTCCTCAGAGACATAAGGTCTCTGTGGAGACAGGACACACTGGATCTAGTTATATACAATGTTACAACTGAAAAAGAGATGCTCATGTTGCATTCTCCAAAAGTGTCACTGGATAATCTGAAAAAATAAGTTTCAACTTTACTACATTTCAGCTATGTCCATTTCTTTGGTCAGTCAATAGTGGATTTTTCTATTTCAAAGTCTTACAAATTGATAAAAGAATTATGTTTATAAATTGTGTCGATTGCTTACTCAGACAAGTTACCTATTAGTTTAGAAAAAAACCCAGCAGACCAACAAAGAAAGACTTACTGTGCAGCCAGGCTGCTTGGGGAGAGTAACTGCCCATCTTCCACACGCCACACATGCGTCACATTATCAGGGCCACCTACAGATATGACATTTATGTAAGTAAGCATTTAATAAACATGTTTGCTTCAAGGATTTATTTTTCTTAGCAAAAATCATCACAGCTAAATAAATGGGAAGAAAATGCAGAAAAATCTGCAGAATTTTTCTCCAAAGGATTTTACAAAACATATCTATGCTCTTTTTGTTGGAAACATTCAAGATATTTATAGGTAATAGATGCCTGCTAATCAGAATAACCCCAATGGTCAAGCACATGCATTTCTAAGAAATTCTTTCTCTGTCAAAACATTATTTTATCCTAAGACCCGTATGCACAGGTGACTCTTGAATACTGTAATGCAGATTGTCTACCACGTGATTTGTTAAACAAATGAGGCCCAATTTCAGTCTTACAGGTCACTGGATTTTTTTGCCTTCAGTTGTCAATAATGTAGCCTTAGGAAACATCTGCTATCACTAATCTATATTTTCCATCTTTCAAAAAGTAGCCACTGATTTCAAATGAATGCAGCTGTGAATGCAAATTGGCTCATATTAACAGAACCGTTCTGAGTGGTCTCAAATAATACGAAGGTTCAAAGTGTGGAAGGCAATCGCTAACTAATGGAAACCATATGGGAAGGTCTAATTCAACACTGTGAATTGCCCCTCCAAGTTAAATAGGTTGCTGATTCACCTTGCCACATAACATTGTATCATAAAAGAATAAGTGTGCAACAGTATTCACATGAAAAATTGAACACGAGAGTACTTTTAATGGCTACTGCATAAATAAAAATAAATCCAAAGCTTTCATTTAGCCCCTTAGGGAAATGGGATCAATTCTTGCAGGCTTCTCTTGAGACACTACTTATTCCTTATAATCCAGTATATTTCAGTGCTGGTATTTTTAACACTGATCCAATTTCTTTCAATAGGCTATTTTATTACTGGTGTTAATAGTTCTCCCATTGTCCCTAGTTAGTGTGTTCTAAAGGCTTTCCATAAAGGTCCTATTGCAAAACTATGCAATCATCCATACTTTTCTGGTGCTGATCAATGAGTTTATTGAAATTAGTATGTGTGTAAAAAAGACTATCACTAAATGAAAGACCTCCTTGTCCACCTCTGTATCAGAGTTGTATGAGTAATGTTTGTACCATTCCTAGTACCTGGCACAGGGGCTTTTTCAGTTTTCCTGTTCAGCAGAGTGGAGTTTTCCTGTGCTCCACTCAAGGTGCAGCTGAATTTTATTACTCTAAAGATAGCAATGCAGCAGTGAGTTAAAGAACCAAGAATGAAGATACCCAGAATAAATAAACCCAATTAATAATGGTAATACCTATTGTTTGTTGGCATGCACATATAGAAGAATCAAGGATACAGCTCTGTTGAGATTTATGCATTTGCAATGTAAAAGTATATAAACCATTTTTCCAAGACCAAATCTTGCTCAGTTTGAATTCTTATGTAATGCTGAGCAAGTTTATTGGCATTTGTATACTATATGGTTATGAGGTTTGTCTTCCTCATTAAGCTATTAAAATGAGTAACTAACAGAAATTAATTTTGTACATATCAATGATAGATGACATTGAGTAAGGACCTTTCCCCCTGACCACTTTTCCCTCTGGACTATAAAATACCTTGGAAGAAATAATGTACTAAATAGATATTACTTCTTTTTTATTTGTAGGATTAGGCATATTTAAAAATGGCACCCATTGACATAGAAAGAAACCTAGTACACAGATAACCTCTTCATCAGTAAGGACGGCTTTCCATTTAAAGAAGTAATTTCATATAATTTACTACTTTGCAAAAGAACAAACTTCAATGAGTCACAAAGATAATCTTTGTTCTCAAAACTCCGTGTTTATAAATGGAAATACTAAAGCATATTAACTGAGGCAGGGATCTTCACTGGGGCAGAGCTGAGAATTAGATCCCTAAGACAGGAAATTAGGAGACAATCTTCTTCTTGTTTATTAGAATCTCCATATTATCATGGTTGCTAAGGAGTTTCCTAAGGAAACTTTAAAGTGTGTTGAATCTCAGACAGACAGGGGATCGGAAAGGTTTGTAGTCAGAGCACAGAGAGGAATGGGGGGATGGTTGTAGGAAAACTTATGTGGGAAGGAATCTGTCATGATGGGTCAAACTCTACAGTGGCTGAAAGTGGGAGCCATTCTGAGGTCTGATGATGGCAGGTACTTGCATGACCACATGAAATATCTTGAAATCAGGTACGTATATGTCCCAGAAAGTAAATAAAAGGCCATCTGGCAAAGAGTTCAAGGCTACTGGCTTTGGGGACAGACAGATCCAGGTTCTAATCTCAGTTCGGTCACTTGCTGGGTGGCTAACATAGGCAAAGCATCTCAGCTTCTTTGTCCGTAAAATAAAATAATGCCTCAGCTTCTTTGTCCGTAAAATAAAATAATTCTATCTCACAGATTTATTTTCATGAAGAAAGTGATTTAAGATAGTAAAGCCCTTAGAATTGACACAGAAAGTATTACCTCTTATTTTCCTTCTTTGAAAGAGTGGTATGAGACTTTCAAAGCTATCTGAACCCTGTCATACATTAGAGAGAGCCCAGGCAATGAGTGAGACACCACCCCACTCCCGCTTAACTGAGTACACACTTAAAGGAGAAGTGTGCTGGTTTCACAAATACTGCTATAAGCCATGAAGACTAAGCAGCAGGTGGCCTTGGCAACATGGCAGATATCTGTTCCTGGGGCTAGAGACCCCTGCACTGTTGAGCTAGGGTCACTGGTTCAGCCTTTAATGACAAGTTTAAGTTCCCTGAAGAATTCCGAGAAATACCTAGAAGACTTTTTCAAAGACCACAAAATTTCTGCTCGAGCAGGTAGGGATTTGGAGCTAATGACTTTCAGGAATTGACTTTAATGCTACTGTATTAATCTTCAAATCGATGAAGTTACAAGTGTAAGAAATTAAGAAAAAAGAATGTAAGCACCTCAAATTTTATAAACAGCAACACATTTCTTTGAATGTATTTCCTGGTCAACCTGACCATCCAAAGACATGTTTTAATACATGTGAAAATCATTAGCATATGCACAGACATGAGACATGGCCATTCCTAAATATTGAAAACTGAGCTGTACTGTTCACCAGAAAAAGTGTTTTGATGCCTCAATTAGAAGTGCTGTTTACTTCTCTGGCTTCTAAGCAGACCACTGATGGGCTTTTGTCCTTTGTAAGAATTTTTTTAACTTTATCCCTTTACTTTATATAATTATAAGGTGTGAGTCTGAAGATGAAAAGAAAAAGAATGGTAGGAAGAAACTCGAAGTTCTCAAGTCTTCAAAATGCAAATAAAAAAATACAGAGGAAATAACTAGTGTTTGTTAGTGTACAGTCTAGTTTTCTGACCTGGACTTTTTTTTAAAAAGTAAGCATTTTTTTCCGGTGTTTGTCAAGACCATTAAATTTAACTACAATCAATCTTGCAAGCTAGTAATCAATTCTGTAATTGTAGATATAAAAAATGCTCCAGCCTAACAGAAATTGGTTTCCAATGGTATGTTAGACCATCCAATGAGAATTCTCAAAAGCCTATCCAAACTTGCTATCCATAAGAAAACTAACAGTTTAATGAGCAAGAGTATAATCAGCTTGTGACCTGATGCTCTCAGGATACTTAATTTATAATCTAAGGGTAAAATCCACATATTTGAAAGCTGACAAATGCAGCTGAGAAAACATAACTCTAAACCCATTCAGAAGAGGTAAATGCTAACCAAACATTTTACTTGGTACTTGAAAGTAGAGATTTATTCTTTACAGCCCTAAATTTTTGTCTATATGTGTCTGTGTGTATAGATCTGTGTATTTCCATGTATGTGGTATATAATGCTATTTTATATATGCAAAGGTGACATTACATGACTTGCTAACAACATGCTCTAGCTTACCTTACTAGGAATGACAGCAGATTTATACCAATCTATTCACACACTGATGTTCGTCATGTATTTTCAAGATGGCTATTTGAGGGATATGTTTTTACCAATGAAAGATTCATCCTGCTTAAAAAGCCAAAATTTGAAAATGAGGGTAAAAATACTGCTTTTTACTGTGTAGGCTTTTGTTCCAAAAAGTGGTAGAAATCTATTTATTGAGGCTTGGTCCTGATATTTATTTTATATACCAAGTATAAACATAGTTTTACAAGCTAAGAGAGAGAATTTTCACCTAAATATAAAAATTCTAGAAAGTCACAGCCTCTTTTTCGGCCATTTCTCCCTTTCTTTGATTAGCCAGAGATCCAGATTTAGTCGAGGCATATTTGTCTACCTAAGAATAATATCATCTATAAATGATTACTTTGGTTGCACTCTGTTTTGTATTTCTAACAGGCTTCATGTCACATAATTGAATATAGTAAGATGGAAGTACAATACCTTGAGCTGGGGAGTCCAGAGTGTACAGCAGATGTTTAACAGATTTATGGAGAGTTTTGAAACCTTCGTTAGTTGTGACACGTGGATAAACCTTCTGCACCACCTGCAGCGCACTAACGAGTCGAAAAACAATTAAACCAGATCGCATTTCAGGGTTTGCAGACAAAACAAAAGGTTAATTCAAGGAGAAAATGGCTACAGTATAGAAAATTATTCTTATAGCATAAGAGACAAGATGCTGCTTTTGTTGTTTAATTACTTGTTTGTCTGTTCATGCACAAAATCCTCCCAAAATGTTGAACCAGACAGAGCACTTTAAAACGTTTCCTGGATTCTAAAGACTTGGGAACTCAACAGCCTAAAAGTAAAGGAGTAAAGTTCACATCAATTGTTTCTGTTAAGACTTAAAAATAAGTGGTTAGGAATAGCAACGTCCGATGAAAAGGTGTCTTTTTTTCTTTTTTAAGGTAAAGATTAAATACTGGAAATTATTTTCATTAAAAATCAAGCCCAGAGAGAAAGGACCCCATTTCAGGAATAAAAATTATTTATGCATTTGATTAAAATTTATCTTTTGCTAAACAAGTGGTAATGTTTTTGAAAAAGAAATGGAGCTTGCCCTAATTAAAGACTGCTTTCTATTCTCTAAGTGTCCAATAGGCACTACTCCAGGGGTAGCTCAAAATTAATATCGAGACTAACTGGCATTATCTCTCTAGAATTTTTATGTTACAAATAAGATGGGCAGTCTGTACTGGGGAAGGCCAATCAGCAAATTCACTTATATGTGAGTTCATTCCACATTTTCAAAAAGGAATTTGTTTCTTAAGAAACAACTGTTTCTTAAGTACATTGTATTGTCATTAGTACATTAAAAAAAGTTGTCATTGTACATCTGAATTCCTCAAATACTGTGATTTATATCAATAATCAAGGACAATGCTTATTTACATGAGTAGTAACTAGAACAATAGGCTTCATTAACAATCTGCCATTATAGGGTTAATTGTACAAATTAGCTAACAGTTTTTCCCTATGTACCCTAGTCATCTAAAGGCTCACTCCAGCAATAGATACAGTATGTGCACATACTTTCATGGTTTTCTATAATATTTTTGAAATTTTTAATATTTAGATTAAGGTCATTTTAATTTCAGTTCCCTAGCTATGAATAAAAGCTGTATTTGGAAAAATAAATTTTGAGTATCTCCTAGTTTCTAGTATAGTGAGGTACACATGTAGATATGTGCATACGTGTATATAAACATGTATGTAATTTGATTTAGTCCTCTAATAATTCCATGAAGTCTACTTTATTTGCCTTGTTTTACAACCAGAAAGCTAAAGCTCAAAAAATTACATAACGTAGACAAGGTTACCCAGCTATTCGTAAGTACAGCTGATTTTGTCTAATTTCAAAGTTTATGTTCTTTCCATTCTACATCTTGCCTCTGGCACAGAAACTTTGCCCAACACTGCTGGGCAGGAGGAGGGCAGAACATTTCTGCACAGAGCCCACGGGCATTGTTAACTTATTATTATGTTTGGCCATAGAGGCACAGCTGTATTTTTCTCATCTCTGCTCTATATACATAACAGTGGATACCTCAGGCATATTTATATTTGCCCTAAGAATCTCCTGGTTCTCAGACTTTGGGGTGCTTCTGAATCCTGGTGACCATGGAGACCAGATAGACAGTCTCAGGTTATAGATTTCTGCCAGCCTTCTCCCAAGTTGGCCCTCTGCCTGAGTCACCTGATCTGCTGTCTCACAGTAACACCTTCAAAGACTGAACAATTGGCAATATCATTAAAGCTGTCAACATTATTGTTATGAATATCATTAATAAAATGTCAGTAGACTTAATTCATCTTCTTCTAACAAAATGTTTAACTTAAAAATAATGACACCTGGCCCTCATACTCCCTGAAATCCTTTGAAACATTTATTGATCAAAATATTTTTATTTTATTTCATAGATTTTTTCCCTGCTCTTTATCATATAAAAATGGAAGTTATGCAAAAAAAGTCACCCTATAAGTAAAGATAATTTTATAAAAGAGTTTTCATGATTTGTATTTCAGCACAGCTTTCTCATAAATGGTGACAATCACATATATTTTTCCATATGTACTTCTTGAATTTTTTGAGATTTTTCATTTTTGCTAATTTCTGTCATGAGATTAACATTATATAATCTGGCTTTGGTGATGGATTAATAATGATGTATAACTCAATAATACAAAAAGTTTTGAAGGAAATGACTAAAGTTTTTGTTGGGTTCATTTATCCCCTAATACTTGATCAACAAGGGTAAGATAAACCAATGAGACCCTAATTTGGTATACAGTAATTGATGTGAGGAAATTATGGCTCTTAATGACACTATCAGTTTAATAACAATAATAAATATTTATCTTTAAAAAAGGGTTTAAAAAGGGCTCTCCAATAGAAATATAATGCAAGCCACGTATTTAAATTTTATAGTAGTCATGTTAAAAAAGTTAAAAGAAACAGATGAAATTAATTTTAATAAAATATTCTACTGAATCCAATGCATCCAAAATATCACTTCAATAGCTAATCAAGATAAAAATTGTTAATGAAATATTTAAAGATTTTTATTGTTCTAAGTTTTCAAAATTCACCATGAATTTTAATTTATGGAGCCTCTCAACTCAAATGCTAAATTTTCATTGAAAATATTTAATCTCAGGGAGTGTGGGTGCCTCAGTCAGTTAAGCAGCTGATTCTTGATTTCGGTTCAGGTCATGATCTCAGGGTCCTGGGATCCAGCCCTGGGTCAGGCTCTGAGCTCAGTGGGGAGTCTGCTTGAGGATCTCTCTCCCTCTCTCTGCCCCTACCCCTGCTTGCATGCATGCTTACTCTCTCTCTAAAAAAAATAAATTTTTAAAAGAAAATATTTAATCTGCATTTAGATTTCATTATAATGACAGATGAAAAAGTAGGTTCATATACTAACATTGTTTCAAACATACAAAAAGGTTTACCATTAACTGAACCAAATATCAGTGTTTGCAATTTAAATAAAGTTAAAAATTCAGAGTTTTAGTCAAAATCCACATGCAATTATCATATTAGAAAGCCATATTAGATAGCCAAGGGCTACCATATTAGAAAGAACAGGTGTATAAATTAGCAATAATAACTAAATTAAATATTGACCACTTAAAAAAAACAGTTGTTTAGGGGTGCCTAGGTGGCTCAATCATTAAGCGTCTGCCTTCAGCTCAGGTCATGATCCCAGGGCCCTGGGATCGAGCCCCACATCGGGCTCCCTGCTCGGCGGGAAGCCTGCTTCTCTCTCTCCCACTCCCCCTGCTTGTGTTCCCTCTCTCGCTGTGTCTCTCTCTGTCAAATAAATAAATAAAATCTTTAAAAAAAAAAAAAAGAGTTGTTTAAAGTCAAATGTCATTTACCTTTTTTTTTTTCTGGGGGAGGGAAGGAGCAGAGGGAGAGGGAGAGAAAATCCCAAGCCGGCTCCAGCGTGGGGCCCTACACAGGGTTCGATCTCACAGCACTGAGATCATGACCTGAGCCATCCAGGTACCCCAAATGTCATTTACTTTAAAATAATTTGAAGCCATTTCTTTTAGCTATTTCTGTGTTCTTTTTCATTATTATGTAGACAGGTTTACAACATTTGTAATCATGACCAGACAGATGCTCTATTGCATAATGCTATAATATGCAATAATTTTATTTTAAATTTTAAGATAATTAAAATAACCACAGTAAAATGCCCATCCTATATAACTTACTTCACTAAAATGATGCCTAAAATATTTTATTTATTTATTTTTAACCCTAAAGTATTTTTTGGATCTTCTACCTCCTATGGAATATTATTTAGTGGGATTTTTGTTTTTTATTTGTTGTTTCTTAACCAAATTTCACTGAGGTAAGATTCACACACAATAATATGCACCTATTTTAGGTGATAATTCAGTGAGTTTTAACAAATGTATATACTCATGTAGCCACCATGCTAATAAGATACAAAGCACTTCAATAATCCCCAGAAAGTTTCCTCATGCTCCCACCAGTTGTCCCAGGATCCACTGTTCTAATTTCTAACAGTATAAATTAATTTTATCAATTTGAGAACTTCATATAAATTGAATAATATCTATATATCCAGTAGGTTCTTTTTTTGGGGGGTGTCTGGATTTTTTTGCCAGCATAATATTCATAATATTTATTCACATTATTGTGTGATGCAGTAATCTGTTTTTCTTGTTGAGAGGATTCCAATGTATAAATAAACTATAATTCTTTCGCACTTCTATTTATGGATATTTGTTCTTTACCCCCAATTTTTAGTTATTACAGATAAATCTGCTGTAAACATAACATACCAGTCTTCATGTGGGCTGCATTTTCATTTTCTTGGGGAAATACCCAAGAGTAAAATGCTACATCATAGGGGCCTACTGTTAACTTCATTAGAAGCTATCAGACTGTTTTCCAAAGAGTTCTGTTTGTTCTACATTTTTGCCAACAGTTGGGGTTGTCCATCTTTTAAAATTTTATTCATTCTACTGAGTGTGTAGTGATGTCTTACTGTGGTCTGATTATTACTTTGATTTTTTTTATTGCTATGCTATATGATTCAAATGATTCTCCTTCTCCTTTAGTTGATTTACCTGTTTGCTTGTTAAGACAGAATATAAATAAGAGCAAGAGGATGAAGTGCCAAAATTCTGGGTGAAAGTTACCCTAAGTGCTAAAATGAGGACCAGTCTAGAGAACCAAACTTCTTAATATCTTGCTTCTTCTGTAATTTAGTTATGATTGGCTATTGTGGAAAGAGCATAAGACTTGGATTCGGATTCCTTGACTTCAGGTCCTGCCTTTGCCACTTACTAGTTCTTGAACCTTGGGCTGGTCATTTGAAAGGATTTGTCTCCTCTTCTACAAAATGGGGTTATCTGTTGTCTCAATTCCAAAGCATAGTTGTGGGATTAAATGAGATTAATGTACCAACATAAGGTCTTATTATAAGGTCTTTGAACAAACATAAGCTCTTGGAAGTTTTCCAAAGAATATGAGAACACTCTCTTCTGGTACCTCAGACATTAGAGATGGAATACATTATGCTCTTAATGACATATTAGAGAGGCAGCTTGGATTCTGGAGTTAGAAAACCCAGGTGTAAACCCTCCTTGTTGCATAATCATCAAATATTTAATTTTCATGACCTTCTTGTCAGCTCATTTATAAAATAAATAGTAGTTTAGCTGTAGGATTTAATGTGGTATATATAAGGGTCTCAGTAAAGTGTCTGATATGTAACAGACACACAATAATTGATAGTTATTGATGTAGTGTTGTTGTCGTTTTTAATGCACATTTCCAAATTAGCTAGATAGGAGTCCAAGTCAAAACCTAAGTGCAAGTCCATTAAATTCTAAATGCTGGCCACAGTCTGAACGCTTTTGTAAGGAAAGTAGCCTTTAAAGGGGTTTCTCCTGCAAAAATAACTTCAAATCTTTGGTCATATATGTCAAATAAAGCCAACCCAATATGCAGGTTTAGAAAGATCATTTACAGGTTGGCTGCACATGAGGGGAGCCAACCCCATTGAGGTGGCTCAGTTTAAAACTCAAACCAACAGGTTGTTTTATATTGAATGGTATCAACTAAAACCCAATGGGACAGTTTATTCTTGGGCAGTTTAAATGCTAAATGCAGAGTTCTGGTTGTCCTGAATGAGCGTGAGCCAATGTTCTAATCTACCACTGGTCCTGTTACACACCTCTTTTTCAGAAGGTCTCCAATAACAACTGAAAATAGATTTGTTAAGATTAGTGTCCCTCCTCACTTCCTCACATACTCTTGGATAACTCTGATGACTGAAGTGTGTGTTTTTTCTTTGCTTAACTAACACCCTAAAAAATATAAAAAGACTTATTTGTCCCACTCGATTCTTACATTTTCTTACCTGTTTGCATTTTGAAGAACATCAAGTAGACTGCTTAGTGTTGTATCATTCTGGAACACATTTGGAAAACTAGAAAGAAGCTGCCACACAGCTGTCTGCTCTTGGACTTGTGAGAAGAAGGACAGCATTTTGACCATGTCCTGAAATACTGTCTTCTGGTTGCTGGGATTACTTGATATCTTACAAATTGACAAACAGGGCAAAATGGGAGTTCAGCATTTTTAATCACATGGCTTATTGTTTTCAAAAGCATTAAAAATTTAGATTTTCACATAATTCTGATTGTCATATAGTTTGAAGTCATTTTTTACTTGGAAAAATTATAACCATTTCTAATATCCTTAAGCATAATTGGATTTTTTCCTATACCTCCAGAAATTTTGGTTAACAAAGGTATATTTATACAAAATATTCTAATTGCATTTTTGGAAATTAAAGTTAATTTCTTAAAATGAAATTAGCTTCTGAGTAATGTTTTTGCTTTTCCCTAGGATCTTGTTTAGGAGTTACAGACATATCTTCTCTGTATCTTTTAGTAAATTTTTATTATTTATTATTTGGGTTGAGAATGCTTAAATCTATATATATTTGCTACTATAATTACACATACACACATACTTAATGGAAGAAAATATTTCCGAAGTTCTGTTGCCATACCAGGAACTTTAGTTATAATAAATGATTTATAGTGAGTGAACCTATGTAATAATATCTTATATCATAAGCAAACAAAAACTGTGACTTTTGCTCCTGCTCTGGATCATAGGATCCAGTGAGTACTTTCAAAGTAAAGTATTTCTTCATTATATTCCAACCCAAAGTAATTTTCTTAATAAACTCATTCATACTGGTAAAGTTAGGCTTTTGTTCAGCTGTAATTCAAGTTCTTTCATGCAGAGAATGTGATTTTGAACAATGCATTCTTAAGCACACATTCTACCCTACATGACTGCCGAATTTGTTTAGAAAGCATTTTAAGTGCTCTATGTTGAATTAGGGTTATTATAAGTGTCTCTAATCTGTTTCATTTAGAAAACTCAGATTACTAAAGGTAATTCAAGCATTCTGTACTTAACAAAAATTATAATAAAATTCAGAGAATCAAGAGGGAAATACCAGAAGTGGATATGTTTCATTTATTCCTGTTTATAAAATTTTAAGAAAATTCTGAGTATTTTTGTGATCTTTCATTGTATGTGGGGTTTCATTACATGTAGACTATGGGTGCCTTCTTTGCATGTCGTAGTTTAAGAATAGCATATAGACGTGGTCATTACTACTTTACAGTATAAAGTCCTTGCCCCTAATGTACAATGTTTTGAGGAGAGGGATATATTGTTTCATCAAAAATCAGCTTTTCAAAGTAGGTTTGATGTTAGTGAGAAAAATTAAAAAGATAACCCACTATTCTAATTTCTGAGGGTTATATGGCTCCAATAGTCAAATTATTAAACTTACATTACAGCCTGAGTAATCTTACTTAAATATCTCAGAGAAAACAATCTTCATTCACCATATAGCAAAACCATCTACAAAGATGTGTCTACAACAACCATAATGCAATATTTTTGGTTCAACAGCATAATCATTTTAATCCTGCACCTTTAAATGGAAAGCAGACATGACTTAGAATTAGATATTGTGTGAATCTCTGTGTGAGGAATCCAAGCCAAGGGTGAGCACATATTTCGGTCAGCATTTACCAGTCCATGTGGGCTATGGACTTAACTCTGACTCAAGTTGAATCACTTTGTGGATACAAGAATGGAAACAATACATTTCCTTTCATTGCTTAAGAGGTCTTGATCAAATTAAAATATTTACACTCACCTGAGAGAACTGGTTTGTTAGTTCATGGAGCGAAGACTCTAAAAAGGTCATATTGGATAGACAAAATCTGTTAAAAACGTTTTTCCCTAGAGTTGTCCAAGAGAAGGCATAATGAGTGGTATAGTCTGGATAGTTCTCACACAGTTCTCTTCGTATGTCTTCTGAAGTTGAATTTTCCTCTAACAGCTAAAAATATGTGTGAGAAGAGTGGGATAATAATGTTAATAAATATGGATATAAAGTAGTCTAGTCTTCAAGGAAACTGACTTGCCTTCACAATAGCGATTTTAAGGCCCTGCATTATAGCTAGTATTTTAATATTATAATGTTATTTTAATAACACTAAAATACATCTGGTTTATTTATGAAAAGTTACAAGAGAATGTGTGATATGGTAATTCTTGTCATTGTTATGTTTTAAATGATTCATATCATTTAATTAGTTCATTTAAATGAACTAATTTCCTGTCTCTGACCAGAGAAACTAAATGCACAAGATCTTTTCTGACAAAAATCTTCAGACATAAAAAATCTGAGTTTTTCCTGGGCATTTAGAAGCAAACTTGGGTGTCCTAAATCTTTGTGACACTTCATGGGGCAACTGGCTGCCATCTTTGGAAGACTTCCAGAGAGGAGGAGTTTTGGCATCTAAGACCACAGTGTGTTTTTTAGAGAAGTGGACCAACATGGATTATATTTCATTTGTAAAAGCAAATGCTTCATTTAGGAATTATATATATGAAGAGAAAAGGAAAACATATAAATGAAAACACATAAAGGTATATAATTCACAACAGCAATAATTGGAAAGTGTTTCCATAATGGAATCATGAGCCCTCCATATATTTCACAGTACAGACCAGTCACAGACACAGCGCTAATTTCAGGTATAATAGTGATCACATTCACCATTTTAAGTTGTTTAGGTATTTACAGAACCAATTATATTTAGCTATAATGTTTAATGGGTCCTTCCTAACAATTAATTCTTATAACCCTGTGAGGTGAGGACCAATTAACTTTACCTTCCCCTTTAAGATTATGTCACAAAAGCTATGCTCTGCCTTCCAGTGACGCAACTTCTAAGTGAATGGAGCAAGACAGGATCCACTTATTCTAGGATATACTGTAAGTGCCAAGTCTTCTAGTCATTCATCCATACCTCTTTCTTAACATTACACATAAACTCACTCCAAAATGATTTCTCCACTCATTTTTGCAAGGGTTGCAAAAAGCAGTAAAGAGAAGGAAAGAAGAATCCGAGAGATTGCTGACACAGGCATCAATATGTCATCCTAATTTTTACATCCCTTCCCTGCTCCAACTACTCTAAAAATACGTATCTATACATAGAAAATTCATTTTTGACTTATCTCCACTGCATATATGACGACTCTGTGCGGCCTCACAAAATTCTGAAATTTCATTCCATATAAGAAAGAGAACTTGGGAGTTTCAATACAATATAGTGGTATTTTTGAGAATAGCGTTGTTACTCTAGATATTAAAGAATTTAACTGATCCAATGAAGACTTTGTGCTTCTAGGAACTAATATGGAAGAAATAGAATGGAATAAAATAACTTTCTCTAATTTACATACTGGTCTGATTTAGGGACGCTTTAAATTGGAATTAACTGGGCATATTGGGGTTTTTTTATGCCAAATAGGGAGCTACAGGTATCTCAAATATTATTCTTGTTGGAACTAGACTTTCAACATCTAGATAAACTGAATGGGAAAGTCTTATATTTCAACCAACACTGGCAGAACTGCCTTGATGGGTAATACCTTTCTTGGAATCCCTTTCTGTGTTGTCCTTTGGCTTATTTACATAAACCAGTTTATTGAGATGCCTCACTTACACAGAATGTTAATTTAAAGGTAACTAACAGAGACATATTAAGCAGCAGAGGTTATGATCACTGGAATATGAATAAAAGTCAAAGCTATGTCCTATATCCTATGTTCCATCCAGATGGAAGAAATGTCTACTGCATAAAACATAAATACATTATTTAAAATGCATATGTGTGTATGACAAAGAGACAGTGAGTGACAGAGAGAGTCTATTAGCAAATGTTGAAAAATGATCTCTTTTTAATTTCTGAAGAGCACATAAAGCAAGGGCCAGCCAAATAAATGTATGAATCTGGCTGAATGAAAGACAATAAGGAAAAGTGGGGATTGTAGTCAACAGAAGGGTACCCATTCTACCTAAAGGCATTCAAATTCAATTTCCGAAAATCCTTACATACACACACACACACACACACACACACACATTTAGCTCACAGGCTGCCAGTTTATGCCTCTGATAGAAGTTGTTTGGTTTTTTTTTTTTTTTGCGATCTGGAATCTTAAAATACGAAGGATCTATAGGTAAGCTCTCCAAACTATGCTAAAGAAAAGGATTTTACTACTTTAGGGAGATATTTTCCATAGCTCCAAATTTTCCAAAGGCATTATCTGTATGGATGAGGCAGCAAGTTTAGTGAGTATTAGAGCTTCATTTGCTGTCAAACACCTTTTTTTCTTCCCTGTCTCAGAAAGTTAGAAGATTACATATAATGCTACCTTATTTCTTACTAAAGGAAAATCTTAAGTTTGATTAAGGCACTTAACAGAGAAAGAAATAACTGTCCAAGACCTTAAAGAATTCAGAATGTCTGAAAATTAAGCTTTTTTATGGAAGAGCTCCTGAGAAAAGAATCTTCCTGAGATACTACTCTAAATGGGAGGGGGTCCCAAATCTCTTCCTACCTGGGAGATCCTTTTATTAACCTCAGAGGCATTTGTTCAACTGCTATTTATTATCAGTCCATTACAAAACTGAGTGAAATTACCTTTTCCAAACTAAGGATCCGGGCAAGGACTTGACTTCCATTGAAAGTATCTGTTCCAGTATTTTCCAAAACAGAACTTGGACTGGGAAATACTATGGCTGTAATAGAAGAAAGAACAGATCAGCATTCTAAACAGATACACAAAAATGGGCAGATTCACATAAGAATCCATAAATATCACTTGTGCCCTTACATCCCCCACAACAAGAATGTGCTCAAATATGCATCTTCCATGAAAGTTTTGTATTGGCAAAATGGCAAATTCCGTCATTATTTCTTTTCACATAAAATTGTGATGGTTTTGGTCTGCTCTTGGGTTTTTTCCAAACACTTCAGATGTCATTTGCTTTCATTCCAGTTTATGTCATTAAACTTCATCACCAATATTATTGCCTAATAACGTGAATCATTTCTGTGCAGGCCTAGAGGATTTGAGGAGCCTCAACAAGCTCCACAGATCCATCATATCTAGCATCTGTTCAAAGGATCTGCCAATGCACATCTGGTGATAATGGTTTTCTTTTTAATTATTCAATTGGGAGGCTGAAATCTGCTTAGGATCATAAATTCTTTCCTCCCCAAAGTGTTTTCTGAAAGATATTTCAGATCAAATAAATGGGATGAAGCAATTAGTCCAAACTACAGTATACTCTAATTAAGTAATTCTCAAAGTAGCTTCATCTAGTACTATTTATGATGTGGCAGGGTGTTCTGGGTTAGGAGCATTAGCTAGAAGGTTATGTTCATACCTATAGCATGGATGTTCAGTAAGCCAGTATGTTAACCTTTTATCAATTTTGGACAGAAATACTTTGTTATACTCACAGCAAAGAATCTTAGTATTCAAAGATACAGTGATCTATCATCAGGAGGGCCTAGGTTTTGTTATGACGCCTGTGGGGCTGAAGAATTTACCAACTGATTCCTCTGGATCAGGCAATACATTTGTGAGATGAGTGGCCAGGGTAGAAACATAATCTGTGGCTACTGAGCAAAGCAAAGCTTACTGGACCACAACACTATGATCTTATTTCTGCTGTGCTTTAAGCTACTCAGCCAAATACCCTCAGATCGTTCACAACAGAACATTAACTCCTCAGAACCACTCACTACTGTATTCCTACTACATTAACGCAGGACCTTTGTCATTTGGTTATTTGCATTGGTATGTTATTTAATGTCATGGTTTTTTGTTTGTTTGTTTGCCTATAGTTCACATACAATGTTACATTAGTTTTAGGCATACAACACAGTGACTCAACTTCTCTATATGTTCTACTGTGCTCACCACAAGTGTAGCTGCCATCTGTCACCAGACAACACTATTACAATATCAATTTTATTCCGTATTCCCTATTCTGTGACCTTTATTGTTGTGGCTTATTTATTTCATAAATGGAAGCTTGTATCTCCCACACCCCTTCACCTATTTTGTGCGTTCCCCTACCTCTTTCCCTCTGGCAACCATCAGTTTGTTTTCTGTATTTATAGGTCTGATTCTTCTTGTTTGTTTATTCATTTGTTTTGTTTTTTAGATTCCACTTATGAATGAAATCATATGGTATTTGTCTCTCTCAGTCTGGCTTATTTCACTTAGCATAATACCCTCTAGGTCCATCCCTGTTGTTGCAAATGGGAAGAGTTCATCCTTTTTTTATGGTGGCATAATACTCCAGTGTGTGTATATCTGTGTGTGTGTGTGTGTGTGTGTTTGTGTACCACATCTTCTTTATCCATTTACCTATCAGTGAACACTTAGGCTGCTCCCATGTCTTGATTATTGTAAATAATGCTGCAATAAACACAGGGGCGCATGTATCTTTTCAAATTAGTATTTCATTTTATTTGAGTAAATATCCAGTAGTAGAATTATTGGATCATGTGGTACTTCTATTTTTAATTTTTTGAGGAATCTCCATACTGTTTTCCACAGTGGCTATACCAACTTACACAATGTTATAGAATCTTATATATCCTATGGCATTTTTAACAGTACTTCTTTTTTTTCCAGAGCACCAATCATGTTCTAAACACACAGGAATCTTTGTTTCATTCACTAATATATCCCCAGGACATAGGACTGAGATTACATGATAGCAGTCATCCAATAAATATTTGTCAAATGAATGTAAAACAGTCCTGCTGTTTTGAGAGTTTATTCCCAATTTATGGCTTCTAATGAGTGTCTCATGACTATCTGCATCAGAATTACTTGGTGTAAGGCTCAGGCAGCTCAGCGGGAAGGTTTTCTGAACACTAAAGTGTGAAGTGCCCCTGGCCTGGCTGTGAAGGAAGCACACAGTCCCACTGAGAGACTGGGATACTGAGCACTGAGGGGGAGGAAGGAGGGTACAGTGGAAAGAGTCCCAGCTTGGCTGCTGGTCTAGAACCAGGTCTATGGTAAGCACACACAGGGCATGTGGCTTTGTTGGGCTTCAGGGTCCTCCTTTGTAAAATGAGAAGTTTGGGCAAATTTCTGAGATTACATCCAATAACTTTTTTCTTTTTTTAAAATTGAAGTACAATTAACACACAGCGTTATATTAGTTGCAGGTATACAATATGGTGATGCAACAATTCTATACATTACTCAGTGCTCATCAGGATGAGTGATCCCCTTTATTTATTTCACCCCACCCGCCCCACTCACCTCCCCTCTGGCAACCACCAGTTTGTTCTCTGTATTCAAGAATCTGTTTTTTAGTTTCTCTTTTTCCCTTGTTTGTTCATTTATTTTGTTTCTTAAATTCTTAAATCATATGGTATTTGTCTTTCTCTGACTTATTTCACTTAATGTTATACCTTTTAGGTTCATCCATATTGTTGCAAATGGTAATTTTTTTTTATTACTGGGCTTTCTAACCATCCCAGCATCATCTAATCGCAGATGACTGGAGTCCCTAGCCAATTCTGGGAAAGTGCGTGATTCTCAACATCATATTTTGTACCATCTAGGCTTTTGCTCCTAGAAAGTATTTTAGTAAGAACTTAATTTCCAATTATTCTCAAAAACTTTGCATAATTGCTCTGCCACACTCAGGCAACCTTAAGGAACATTTAGATCTCTTGGGAATATTCTAGGCATTCTATCTCTGTTTGAAAAATTAAAAGCATAACCCTTTCAAAGACTCGACCTTGCTGGCTGTTCCAAGAGGCCTGCTCTAAACTCGACAGAAGAGAATGGCTTACCTGGTGATGTGTGCCTTCCTTCTGGAACTTTGGTGCTCTGGAGTGATAAATTGCTGTCCTTCTCCAGGTTGGATGACTTTCTCAGAATTTCACTAGTGAAGAAAAAGCAAGAACTCTATAGCTTCACCCACATTAATTTCAGTTAGTTACAGCAATGTATTATGTGGCAGATTCCAGGGCTCTCTGAGGACTTTCAAATTTTTAATATACTTTCTAGGATCATAATGGAAGAACTCACCTAACCATACACCAGTGAATATATAAGATCTCCTACAAGGTAAATTTTTATTCAGAGAAAGTGGCCTAGATGAGGTTTAAAATAGTTATTTTTACTTTAATTTTATAAAAAGGACATTATTTTAAAAAGACATAAGAGCTAAATATTGAAAGTAATCATGAGACACACACACATATATATAATATATGTAGAATATATATATTCTTTTATTTTTTATTTTTTATATATATATATTCTTTTAAAAAGATGATGGATCTCAAACAGATAAGAGCCCAAGGGTGCTTCCGGGACTGAAACAAAGGTACGCTTATTTGTCAACCTTGAGAGAAAAACAAGTTTTATATGCTAAATTATAGATGGCATTTTGAGGACTATCAAAACTGAATACTTATAAGACAGATTCAAGGAAGAAAGGAAAGAACACACATTTATTGAGTATCCAGTCTGTGCCAAGTTCTGTGGCTGTTGTCATTATAGGTGGCACTGGGTGTTAAAGGAATGTATAATGATGTAAGTAGATCTTTTATTGTACTGAATGTATCAATGTGGTAATAATAGCATTGTGGTGCCAGGAATCTCCATACATTGTGATCACACTGGCTTTTGGAAGAAAACATTACTGGACCTTTAGTAACCTTCTTTTGAAAAACTCACTGCCTGTTTAGTTGATTATCAAAATGGAGATAATCATATTTTCTTGAAAACCTGATATACTTAAAGTAAGTGCCTAAAATAAATGTATATATTTCAAGAGTGAAATCAGTTCAGATGCCTGGATGTGAATACTTTTTGGAATTCCTCAAAGTTGGTGAATTTCATGTAGTTGTTTATAAAAGAGCTTATGTAAGGTATATAAGGATGGATATAAAAATATAATAGTGAAAAGCAAGAAGTTCAACTCACTGCTGTGGTTCAATTTAACCTCCTTTTTAGAAGTAAGATCTGAATCATGGTTCCAGGGTACTTTGTGATTTATAATTGGGATTTTTTTTTTTTTTTAGTGTGTCCTTTTAGTAAAAATGACAAGAAGAGGTGATATTTGTTTTCATTCCCTAGTGTTTTTCCAATATTCTCTATAAAATGTACTGGTTGCTCTAAAAGTTCTGCATTCTTAATGTATATTTGAATTATTCATGACCATGACTGTATTCCCCTAAATCTTTTTACATTCCTTATGCTGACTATTTGGATGGGAAAACTGCTTAGATAAAAATAAGAACTGACCTGTACATTTTCCCTTCTCTCAACAGAAGTTTTAGAAAGTTTGAGAAAGTCGGGTTCACTTTTCTTTTTCTCAATATTTTTTTTTTAGTTAGGCTTGAAATACTATAAGGAAGTCTACTGAATATCAACGCATTTTAAAAATAAAGGGGAAAACTGCCTTCATAAAAATTTTAAAGAATAGGGACAGCAACAAAAACCAAAGGGAGAATGACAAAGATCAACATGAGCAAAGAAGAAGCAAGAGAAAACAGAGACTAAATAATATATGAGAGTAGGAGAGAAAAATAGAAGAAGTGATAGGAAACTAAGAAAATATAAGTTTAGAGAAGCAAAAGCTGCATACTAGACAGAAGACATCTTGCCCATCTTCCCACATTCAGAGAAGCACCCTAAAACTATTCCTTCAAATATTCTTTAAAGACCAAAGAAAGACAAGCTCCTCCCTTTCCCAGCAAGCCGCTGGCTCAGCAGGTCTGAATTTGCTCAACTGCAAAATGGCTGCTTCCAGACAAGCAACTATGGAGCCCTCTCTTCTAATAGGACCTGTCCTTGACCAGGAAGTACCCATGGTTACATTGTCACCCATGCATACATATTATTGGAGTGGGGAGGTGATCCCTCTCCTTGTATGTGGCCTTGCTGTGTGCCTTTTTGTTGGGGTGAGAGATCAGAATATCAAGTGGGCTTTTGGTTCAACTGCTTACAAATTCCCCCCAGTTTTATTTTGCATTTGCAAAATGTGGTATGATGGCATGTGTCCACTGTCACTGCACGACAAAAATTATTGCCTCTAAACTCTTAAAATGGAAATTACAAAATAAATGTACAAGAGAGCACTGTGGGTAAAAAGATGAATTAAGGTTATATATTGAAATGCAGTTTACTTCCCCCAAGCAAAGGTAATTAATTTTTTTAAGTCCTTATTAAATTACTAATGCAGGGCAGGAAGGTAGCCAGTACTACTGAGTTAATGGTAATCTCTGAACTTTCTCATTAGCATGACCACACTTATAGACAGAGCACTACATGCTTCTTGGAATGACAGGTGAGAAACAGTACTCTTTCCATGATTTCAGACAATTTAAGCACTCGGTACATACTTATTTCATACCGTTTTTTAGTGCATTGTGTTGTTTGTGTACCTATTCCTGCCACTTCTCCATTTTAGGCAGTGATGTCTTTGGAAGTAGGCACCATGTGTCATTCATCTTCTTATTCCAAACACCTAGCACAGTATTAGACCATAAGATCAGACGGCTAATTAAATAAAAAGAGACAGTAATGCTGGGGTGTGGCAGAAAGTGCTCTGGCGTTAGAAGATACCTTTGGAATCCCCGCTCTGCCACTTCCTAAAACACCTCGGTCATTGCCTTCCTCATCTGCAAACTAGGAATGATAGATCTACCTTGCAAGAGCTGTGAGTGCTACCATTCAGGATGTGCTCATCCAGTGCCTGCCTGGGCCCTGTCATTGTAGGCACTCACCAATATGAACTGTCAAAAAATGATGGCACAGACACAGCCTTTAGGTTGGAGCTCAAATCCTGTTCTTATGCATCTGTGCTCCAGATATAGTCCCTCTGGAATACTAGAAACTGCAAGATCTCTGGACACCAAATGGATGTACCCTTATTATTCACAGATCTGGACCTGTAAGCATTGGCTAGTGAGGTAGGACAAGGCAAAGGATCTCACCCAGGGTTTTGTGGGTTTTGTAATCCCTTCTTCATTTTATTACTTATTTATAAGTATACTTATAAAAGGAGTTTTCCATTTGTAGTGATGATCAGTTTTCCCCTTCTCAAGCTGTAAAATTCTTCAGAAAAGACTACAGTGTACTGCACTGGCAGATGGGAGGATGCCTAGCACATGGCAAGCATTGAATACTAGATAATAAGGAATATCATTTGGAAGAACAGATAGCTAAGGACGCATATTTTTTTAATAGCTTAGCCTGTCCTCCATTGCTGCATATCTATTTCTGCAAAGGTCCTTACAGAGAAAACACCCAGGAATGGCATGGCAGACAATAACGTATAATCATGCACTGTACCTACCATATTCATTGATTAACTCGCCAACATTTATTAAATTCCCACTATATATAACACAATGGAATAGTCAAATAAGGAGTTGAGATTATAATACACTAATAATAATAGCTACTAGAACATGCACAGGGGACAATGAGAACACATGACAGGGGCTGCTAAATCAGAGATCTAATTTGTGTTTCTTAAAGGGCAAGATTCTAGAATCACAACCTTAATTCAAAGCTCTTGCTACCTTAAACATTTTCCTTCATCTTTTCAGTAGACGAGTGGTTCTCAACTGGGGGCAATTTTGGCCCCTCCTCCCAGCAGACATTTGGCAATGACTGGAGATGTATTTTTTGCTTGTCACAACTAGGGGGAGTGCAGTGTTACTGTCATCTAAGGGGTAAAGGACAGGGATGCTGCTGACCATCCCACAATGCAGAGCACAACAAAGAATTATCTGGCCCCAAGTAGCAATAGTGCTGACGTTGAGAAACCCTGCAATAGGCTACTATAGATAAGTGAATTTATTCTGTGATGACTCATCCCCATTCCCACTCCCTAGGATGAACTCAGGAGTTTTAAAAATCTTATTCAAGGAGGGCATATGATGGAATGAGCACTGGGTATTATATAAGACCAATGTATCACAGACCTGTACCTCTGAAACCAATAATACATTATATGTTAATTAATTGAATTAAAATAAAAAAATGTTAAAAAAATCCTTCCAATTTCTTAGAGGTTGTTTGAATGAGAGATACTGAAAAAAAAAATCCTATTCAAGAACTCCAAAAGCTCTGAGGAAGTCTCCGAGAATCTATCTCATACTGGATATTTCTGGGAAGAATATTAAAGCAAATGCAAAACTTAGAAGCCCCCTGAATCCAGCACACAGGCTCACATGAGTCCAGAAAATCCAACCCTCTAGGTGGGGCAAGAAAGTCTGAATTAAATTTCTAAGTGGCCCCTGGGATCAATCAACTACCTTTTATGGGACCCAGACATTTGTACAGTACCATGGAGATGTCTAAGGGATTCTCCTGTATGATTCTGAAGAAGTAGATTCTGCCTCAGTGGCATTTATAGGTGCCTATTTTGGAATGGAATTCAATAAAAGAAATAGCTCAGATTCAAATGTTAAATTTAAGATACTGGAAGGGAAACTAGGCCCAGAGTACATTTTACATCTTCTCAGACATGTCTACCAACAGTAACATTTGTGAAATGTCACATTTATAGATATCATTATAATGGTAGAATTTATTCACTCATACTGGATGTCTCTCTATTTCCTGTGAGTGGGAAAGATTACCTGTGTAGGTGGTATCCATGTGTGCCATGGTAAATTTTGTCTATAAAAAGAATTGCTTTCAGGGAAGACACATATGGCAAGTCCTAGAAAGAAAATTCTGACATTCTTTTTTGCCTCTAAGTGTTAGTTAAACTTTTTATATATTCCCCCTTTTTCCCCAGAATAATTACACAGGTATATAGTGACTTTAACCCTTTATTTTTTACATGACTAAATGATTCTAAAATGGTTACAAAATGGTTATAAATTACTCTGAAGTTAATACAGCATGTGACTTATACATCCCCTGTCATCCTTATAGTCAAATGAGGACACACATCTGTTCTACTTCCACTTACTTTACGTTCCCAGTGATATCTTTAGGTCAGTTTCTAAACACAACCATAGTTTCCAGTACTAAACAAAAGCCTTGGCATTTTAAAATTATCCCTGGGGGCTCCTGGGTGGCTCAGTCAGTTAAGCATCTGACTCTTGATTTCAGCTTGGGTCATGATCTCAGGGTTGGGAGATCGAGGCCCACATCGGGCTCTGCGCTTAGTGCTGAGTTTGCTTGTCCCTCTCCCTCTGCTCCTCCCTGCACTCGCACTCTCTCTCTCTCTCAAATAAATAAATAAATAAAATCTTTAAAAAATAAAAAAATAAAATTATCCCTGAATAACATACAGTTAGCTCTATTAAAAGTTCCGGCTAAGCCAATAGGAGCAGAGGTATGAGTTTGGAAACCACAGGTCATGGATGTGTGTTGGCATGACAGAGATAGGGGAGCAAATCCATAGAGGCAGTTCTCCTACGGGATTCTCAGGAATGCTGAACCACTCCTCCCAATAACGACCCTGTGAGCTCTGGAGGATGATTTTCAACTTTCACCAGCTGTGTGAACGATGGCCCAGCCAGGGCCTCCCACTGTTCTGATATATTCTTAGAGGCAGTGTAGAGGGAGGAAGGACCACAAGGGTAAGTCTTGTGATGTTGGATCATCAGTTGTACAAAGCAAGAAAACCCATAAATATAATGTTTCTTTTTCCAGACAGCTAGTTCGAGCTGATGCTGAGTATGGTGTTGGATTTTTATTTTAAAGCACCTCATCCTGAAGCTAATGCCTAAGAAGTATGAATTTAATAACAGAAGGCTGGTACCGATGCAAAAACATCGAAACCCTTGGTGACTGGCCAGCAAGCAGAGGCAGCAGTGTGATCACGTCTTTAAGAAGAGCAGTCTATTAAAATAAACATGGTGAGCCTCTTTTGATGAGGCCAAAGATGGCATTTTCTTCCCTGCACTTACAAAACAGAAAAAGAAGACTGTTTTGTTTCTTAATAATCTTCCTTTACCAAAGGGAAGCAATTTAGTGGAACCGCTTACCCAGTACCCATGCCCCAGTTTCACTGCATGGCCGTATAAACCATAAAAATTAATAGCATGGTGGGAAATATCATTAATGCAATTTTATTATAGTACATAATTTTCTAAATTAAGTTCTAATTACTTGGTAGTTTAGAGAAAATACTGAATATACAGCAATATACAGTTTGAGCTAGACAAACTACCTGGTAGTTAGAATAAAACAGAAAAAGTGCACATGGTCATCTGCCCAGAGAATCATCAACAGAGGAGAAAATAAAGCTGGACTTTGATTCTAGTTCCAAAACCAACTCAGTGGCTCATCTCAGGCAACTCTGTGAGTGTGGTTCTCTATGATGTCACACAGAAAAATACTCCTTTTGGGGATGGTACATTTGTAGTCTTAGATATTGTTAACAATTTCCCTCATTGTAACTTGGTTCTTCATGAAAAAGAAAGATAGAAAGTTGACAGCCCCAGCTAGACCTGCAAACCAATTTGTTAATAAGAACATTAATATTTCCCCTGTCTGTTCTAACCCTTGGTTCGTGAAATGTCTCTCTCAGGAACAACCCCTTCGTGAAGATCTACCTGATTACTCCACCTGAAAGCTCTCTGTGCTTTAAATATGGAAGGTGTCTTCCTTCAGTATCCTTCTGGTACTCTTCATTGTACTCTCTCCAGTTATGATGATTGGTTTAATATATTCCCTTTCCTATTAGAACATAGGCACAGATCATGCCTAATTCACCACTCGCATGGGGACACACAGACTATGAATTATGTTGAACAACCAAGATGTCATGCTTCCGTCTTAGCTCTACTCTGATTACACAAGAGGGCATAGGCTCGAGTTAGCTTTTGGTCCCCTTGCAGAGGTAATGCAGGTGTTAGTTAAGGTAATGCTTGTATATACTTAGAACATGCTGGTTTCATACATAATATGTCATGTCATCTCCCTGCTTAACACTTTCCAATGGTTTCTCATTATACTAAAAATAAAATGCAAATCCCTTCCCTTTTCCTATATGTTTGATTCTGCATGCTCTGTCTCCCGTGTTTCTGTTCGACATATTCCCTACCTCTAAGTATCATCTCTCACTACGTTTTAGCAACATTAGCCAACTTTCTGTTTCTCTAAATGGTCAGGTTTATCACCCACCACCTGAGGATTATCTGCTGCTGCTTTGCCTGGAACACTCTCTTCCTATGCTGTCACTGGTCTCTTCCTGTCCTTGCTGGTCTCTACTCAAATGCCACCTGCTGGCAGAGGCCTTCTCCTGCCACGCTATTGACTTCCTACCTTTCAACTTCTAGCCCATAACCTGCTTTCTTTTCTGGCTAGCACTATTGTTATTATCAGTAATTATACTATTTATTTATTTGGTTGCTCATTTTTTTGCTTGCTTTTCCATTAGAATGCAAGTAACAAAAAAGTAGAGGATTTGTCTGATTCACTTCTGTGTCATAGTGCCTAGAACAGGGCCTGGCACACAGAAATTTCTCAGTCATTATTTCTTGAATACATTAACAAATTAATGAAGGAACACCAGAATGTTTTAAGCATTAAGACTCATTAACTTATTGAAACAACACAACCAACGTGAATTAGCAACTCAACAATTGTGTTTTCTGAGCTACTGCCCATGACAATTCTTGGTATGTTTCTATTTTATGCTAAACAGCTTACAGTTGCTCACTCTGAAAGTATCACCCATATTATTTGATAACCAAAATCATAATGATGTCACTAGAGAAATAGTGTTAAATGCCAAGGAAGTTAAATTAAATTTCAGGCTCAAGTATCTCTGATTAGAGATAAATGTAATCTTTCCTTGAGAAACACTTAAAAAAAATCTCTAACCAGAATTATCTCATGGTCGACTCAGATAACAATACTGTTTTCAGTTCAGACGGGTGGGTTCCTGGGAGTCTCTTTAGGTTTAGAATCCCAGGACAGAAAATTGAGATTATAGTCATGTTGAAAATGGTCTAGATTATCTTTATTCTTAGCTGCCTCTCACACCATAAAATAGGACACCCATTAACCTCATTTAAAGGTTGTTATTTATTAAGTATACTTTCAATTATATTACTTTGATTTCTAGAACTTTTATTCATTTATTTTTTAAAAGATTTATTCAACTGAGAGAGAGAGAGACAGAGAGAGCATGAGTGGGGGGAGGGGCAGAGAGAGAAGGAGAGGGACAAGCAGACTCCCCGCTGAGTGCGGAGCCAGATGCGGGGCTTGATTCCAGGACCCTGAGATCACAACCCAAGCAGAAGTCAGACGCTTAACCAACTAAGCCACCCAGGCACCTCTGATTTCTAGAACTTTAGTTTCCTTATTTGCATCTCCTGGTTTCTGTTACATCTGGAAGTACCACACAGAGTAATATAAATATGTCATGTTTCCAGGAGATAATGCCCCCTAACATTGCCCTATATCTGAAGCTTGTGATCAAGCTTAGGACAAAGTGACACTGACAATTTGAGGTGGAATAGAGAATCTCTAAGGGAAGTTAAGGAGGAATGCCTTGGCCACCCAGCTTAAAAAGCAAAGTTTGGGTAATCCATCTAAAATAGATCATGCTTACTCCCACATAAACATGGTAATTTCAATGTGTACCCAACTTGTTCATTCATATTTAGATCACCACATTTGCAGACATAGACAATAAAGTCTTATATCTAACCCAGGAGGGCTTCCTGAATATCTCATAAGTAAACAAATTCTGATCTCTCAAATCAACTGAACACACTTGGGAAGTGCCCTTACCTGTCCTTAAATAGTGCATCATCAATTCCTTTCCTACGAAGCAGATCTTTTGGACCATAGGGTGTGTCTTTGCATTTAGAGTCTGTGTCACAGAGTAGGGTTTGCAGGAACGGGAAGAAGCCAGTACTAGGAAGATTTCGAGGTGCAAGGTAACCTGAAATTAAAAAACAAAATACAATAATTACATCACTATGGCATTTGCCTTGGAAGGGAAGGACGTGTAGTAATTCTGTTTTGTGAAATTACCTTCTGGATTATGACCATCTGGGTCCACTAATGTATCAAAAGATGTAAAAATGCCTGTTGCCCTACAAATTTCTTTTCCTGGAATTAGCTGCAAGAATGTCCGCTAGAGTGTTTTAAAAATAAATCACAGTATATCCATATCATAAAACACAATGCAGCTAATAAAAATGTTGTTAAATAATATAGAAAATGTTTATAATATCTTGCCAATTAAAATGAGTAGATCAGAAAACAGCATGACCAGAATAGTTACAATCTTTAAAAAAAAAAATGTATATTTAAAAACCTGGAACAGGGGCACCTGGGTGGCTCAGTCAGTTAAGCATCTGCCTTGGGCTCCGGTCATGATCTCAGGGTCCTGGGATCGAGCCCTGCATCAGGCCCCCTGCTAAGTGGGGAGCCTGCTTCTCTCTCTCCTCCCTGCTCATGTTATCTCTCGCTATCTCTCTCTCTCAAAACAAAACAAAACAAAAAACCTGGAGGGATTTCCTCAGAGGTATATTTCACATGATTTTTATTTATTTTTGTTTAACTATATAGTAACTATTTTTTCCCACAATGTACATGTCTTCTTTTGTTATCAAAGTCATTATAAATGCAGCCAATCTTCCAGATACCAGGAAGTATTTCTGGTCTCCTCAAAATTTAACATAACATAAATAGGATTAATTATCCTATACACACAATATTTTTTCCTATTTAAAAACCAATAATAATGGAATAAATAAATTCTCCCAATTAAGATCACAGAAAACAAGAACTGTAAGAGTAAAGGGTTTTGTAACTTCACTCTAACATTTGCTTTATAAAATATGATGATGGTATATACGTGTCAAGAAATAGGCAAACTGTAAAGCACAAACCTTTTTGCAATTAGGTCTAATATTAAAACACTAGGTTCCTCTTTGGGGGAGTATATGGAGACAATGAACTTTCAAAAAAGGTAGGTTTAGAAACTAAGAATAATTCCAAACTGAAAATTAAAAAGCAAAACCTTAAATTCTTCATGAATCTGTCAAAAAGGGTGTCAGTACAAGTCTGTTTTCATTATAAAAAGGAAGAGGAAAGGTTAAAAAAAAAGAAAATAGTAAGAGCAACATGGTTAAGTAAGCATTAATATATTAGCAGAGCAAATAATAGATAGAAATTTGATCTAAGTAACTTAAATACAGCTCTACATACAGAAAATTGGAAATAAAAGGGAAGGGGCGATAAGAAAGTTGGCCAGAAGTAAAGAGGAAAAAAAGGAGAGAGGTTGGAAGATGGTGTCTCTCCTAACATTAAACCCAGTGAAAACTTCACTGGGAAGTGGACCTTCACTGTTTTCACTGTAGTGCAATTTCCTGAATTGCACTGAAATTCTGCCACAATGGACTGCATACAGCAAGACCTTTACAATTCTGCAGTGAAATTTCACCACTAATGGTGATCTACCCTACTACATAGATCCCAACTGCAGCTACTCCCCCAAAGTGTGGGTCTGCCAATGGTCTTATTCCTATTTGACTTCAAACACATGCAGTGGGTCCTTTGAATGGAAAGCTGATAGTAGGGCAACAGAAGCAGATGACTCCTTTGCTTATTCCATTTATCAAGGTGATGGTATGGCTGAGCCAGGCAGTGCTGAGAACAACAGCTCGCGAGAAGCCATATCCAACAGGAAGAGAAGGAAAAAAAAGGGAAAAGACATCATAGGAAGAATATCTGAAAAGAGGTGGCACATGACATCCAATTTTAGTTTCTCTGGCATTGATTATAACTTTCAAATTATTAAGAGAGGAATTTGGAAGCGTTTAAACCCACAAGATTCCTCACTGTGATTACGATAGATAAGCCTACTTTATAGGAAAATTCATCACAGGGTTGCTTTAAAACCTTTTTAAAAGTCCTACAATGTTCAAAATACTGACAGTTCATGCTTCACATGGATTTTCTGACAACTAATATTTAACCTGTTACAATGGGTTCATTCAAATGAGGAATTGGTTTGGGTGTGTACATGTTATAGTAAACACAGTGCCATGCACAGCATGGACTGCCTCCATTATTTATCTTACCATCACCTTTTAACTAAGAACCATACACTCATTAAGATAAAGAAGTCTGTTGCAACAACAATCACTGATTTATTAAGCATGCACTTATTCACCATAGTATGGTAGGCATGTGACATACATTTATGTCACATTCTTCTTTGATATCCATAATATAGTTTCTCATACATAGCAACTTTTCACACAATCTGGAGATCCTCTAGAACTAACAAGTCAGAATTAAATATAATTCAACTTTATTTAGTGGTCTTCTTGTGGGGAAAAATGGAATTTTTTCCCCCGTCTTCTGCCCATCTCAGTTACGTGTGTGCCAGGAAGTAACCACTCAGAGCAATGGTGGAATCAAACCATGACACGTTTTAAAGAGCTGCTAATTCTAAGTTGAATTCATTCTATTCTGAAGGTGTCTCTGGCACTTTCAGGTTCCAAAATCATGTTTCTCTTTATATCCGTAAACGCTAGGATGCAGGAAAAAGAGAAACATATCTCTGTCCCTCACAGGACTGCCGTGCAGCAAGCATGGAGCATGCCAAGTTAGAGCTAAAAATTGGTTGCCCACATTCACAGCCAGAGCACAGATTTAAGGACACAGGTAGAAGAAGATCATAACTATGCAAGCCACAGCACTACTTGTAAGTAAAAAAACAAACAAAAACAGATCTCGGGGGCTTGGGATGGAGGGTAAAGGCAAGATCAATTCCTTGGTATCATGATTCCCAAAGGTCTTACACTCAGGACAACATTCATGACTACCTCCAGGAGAAATAGTATTGAAGAACTTGCAATTCCATGGGGAAATTGGAGCCAGAAGATTCTAGTATATTCTGAGAGGGAAGTGGGTGAGTAGTAAGCAAGATCCCAATTCACCTATGGTTTAGTTTCTCAGGGGCTCCAAGCAGAGGCCGTGAAGTGGTCTGAGCTACCACCCATGGGTGGGGAGAGGTTATTCTCATAAAATGGACACAGTCAATATTACCTATATAATAGTAACTTTGACAGATTCCAACATTATTTCAGGGAGTTGAATCAAACCAAACTATAATACATTTTTAGGAAAAAAACCACCAATTAGCTAAGCTTTTAACTAAATCAGATTCAATTCTAATTGTTTTAAGAATGAAACCAACAGGGGTGCCTGGGTGGCTCAGTTGGTTAAGCGACTGCTTTCGGCTCAGGTCATGATCCTGGAGTCCCGGGATCAAGTCCCGCATCGGGCTCCCTGCTCAGCGGGGAGTCTGCTTCTCCCTCTGACCCTCCCCCCTCTCATGTGCTCTCTCTCTCTCATTCTCTGTCTCAAATAAATAAATAAAATCTTTAAAAAAAAAAAAGAATGAAACCAACATTATAAAAAGATTCAGTTTAAGAATTAAAAAAAAATACTCTGTAAAGAATTGTGATATCAACCTATATACATCTATGTTTACCTAAAAAAGAGGATCAGGTTTGGTTTTCTTTTCCCTTTCTTCACAAAATTCCTTACTCAGAACAGTATTTGTGTGACATAATGTAAAGATTTGAGCAGCGGTTCTCAAAGCACAGGTCCTAGACCAACAGTGTCAGTACCACCTGGGAACCTATTAGAAATAAAAATTTGAGATCCCACCCCAGATCTATTTAGTCAGAAACTCTGGGGATGGGGTTCAGCAATCTTTATTTTTTTTAAAGATTTTATTTATTTATTTGACACAGAGAGAGAGAGTACAAACAGGGGGACTGGCAGGGAGAGGGAGAAGCAGGCTCCTGCTGAGCAGAGAGCCCGACGTGGGGTTCGATCCCAGGACCCTGGGATCATGACCTGAGCCGAAGCCAGATGCTTCTCCAACTGAGCCACCCAGGTGCCCCAGCAATCTTTATTTTAACATGCCTTCTAGGTAATTCTGATGCACACTAAAGTTTGCCAACAGCAGGATTAGACTACAAACTTTTGCAGGAGAGTCAGATAGTGATTATTTTTTAGCTGTGAGACTCAACTGTCCCCATCACAGTAACTAAAGTCTGTCAGTGTAGTATGGAAGCAGCCATAGATAGTGTGTATATTAATGGGTCTGACTATATTCCAATAAAACTTGATTTACAAAAAAAGGCAACAGACTGGATTTGGGCCTACAGGCTCTAGTTTGCTGACTCCTGGGGGGGATGACCTCTTACATTTGTCCCTCACCCTCTCCTGCCTTGCTCACTTATTTTCACATCTTCCCATGCTTCTTTTTCTCTTCCTTCATCTTACCTAATTTACTTAATATCCTTTAATATTCCCTTTCTTCTATAAAAAAAAAATATTCCCTTTCTTCTATTTCTCAATCTTTCATTCTTTCCTTTCCACTGACCACCCCCTCTTTTGACTCAATTTCCAATTCTTTTCTTTTCTCCTGCTATTCCCTTCACCAACTCCCGTATCTCTTTACTCACTGGTACAGCCAAGAATGCATATTTCCCCCAATATTTCCCTTTACTTCTTTTCCTTTTTCACCTTCACATGATTTTTGCCCCTTCCATAATAAATTCAGGAGCACATTGCTCACTGGCACTATCCACAGAAGTGCTGTTTTCTATTTACTGTATTATTAAAGAAAGAAATGCCACAGTCTTTTCAATAATGAAGCTGCTTCCATTTGACATCATTAGGCTTAGGGAGCATTCTGTAGGCTACCTTGGTGACATTTGTACATACTATAATAATGGTAGATATTGGAGAACTTCCACTGTGTTTCTTTGTGTTTTTCTCAAAGCTGGTCAGAACCCAACCTAGATGATATTTTGTGTTTCCAGGTGAAAGGAATTTGGTCTTTACCCCAGTAAAGAAATGAATGATGTATCTTGGAAGGAAATTCTGACTTTTTAAAATATGAAGTTA